GGGAGAAAGTTACCCTCACAGAGAGCGAGCTCCCTCGCGGCTTCCGATCAAAATGTCCCAACCTCCGATCCGACTGGAAAGGAAGTCGTCGGACGAGCGTGGCCGAGCGGCAACGAAAGGGCCGAAGAGGCGATCGAAAGGGAGGAAGTTGACTTTACAGTCGACGAACTCCTGTTGTTGCTTCCGCACAAAATGTCGTAACTTCCGTCCGACAGGGAGGGGACGAATCGAAGGAGCGAAGCCGAGCGACCACAAGGAGCCGGAGAAGCAATGCGAGCCCCCTTTCTTGCTTCCGATCGAAATGTCGTTCCTTCCGATCTCACAGAGAAAAGAGAGCGAGAGAGCTGGATTGCGGGAGAATGAGCAGAGAGTGCGGAGCTCATGCGTGCGGGAAGAAGAGAAGAGAGATAGGGAGAGAGTGAGCGTGAGAAGAAGTAACCCCCGAAGGCTTCATCCGAGCGGCTTTTAAAGGCCTCAGATAGCAACGATTGAGGCTGGATACGGGATCTGCGGCTGTTTTGACGCGAACGGCGCCGAATCAGTGCGATTTCGGCAAGGTATCGCGGGTGGATTCGAGGATCCAACGGACAAGGTATGATTTTTTAGTCTCTTTTTTTGTTCCCTTTGGATTTAGTATACAGGTCAACATAGACATAAAGGTTTCCATCAGCATGAGCAACAACAAAAATGCCATCGCCATCTGGTACCCAAAGCAAGACAAGTGCATCGACTGCAGACAGTAAAATTTATCCACAGGACAATTAGAAAAATAATGTGGCGCTCAATATGAATGCCATATTAACAAAAGATGTTGAGCAATAATACAAAACAAATGAATGCAAATATTTACTTTCCACCTCCCATTCATGTGAACACACTACACACGGTATCACAGCTAGTAATGTTTTAAATAAAATATAGCGCAAGGGTCATTAAAACAATGCAAAATGTGAAAAATTCGCTTAAACTTTCATCCAAACTACCATGATTTAGTGAAGCATGATGAAGGCCTTTCACAACTCCATGCAGTATTAGCCCAACATTAAATTTCAGGTACAATTGTCACTCAACAACAGAAGCGATTGTGTTGCACCTAAATCTATATCAATCAAGAAACTATAAAACTATAATTAGTTAAACATCAATTTTCACAATCTCTAGCTAGTCCCTTGCACAGCAATAATAGCAATTCTAGAACCCGAATTTCCATTTAGTTTTATTTGGTAGATTTTAGCTCTTCCCTGTCAAGCAATCCTATTATAGTGAATAATTTAACTTCCAATCAAGTTGACAATCCAAACAAGTCAACTTGATTACTGCAAGAAAAGAGCTTTCTCAGTCAAAATTTTTCAGTCTACCCTCAGCTATATATTACTTCATCTAGTGATTTAATGAAGGAAATGCATGCCTGCTATTGATTGTGCCATCTTTATTGTAATGTTGAGCTCCCACGAGCTTCTTACCAAGATCCTGTAGTTGTTGCCTTAACGACACTGAGTAGACTTGAATTGCATACAAACATTGTAAACATTTTAACAAAATTTCAGTTATTTTAAATTAATATAAAAATGTAAAATAAAAAAATAAAAAATGGGCAACCATATATTGAAAACATGGTATCTGAACTCACTGTCTCCAGACTGAAACCCAACAAGCATGTCATGCCCATCCTTCGCTTCAGAATCAAATGAATGGCATAGAGGGTTGGAGCTGCTGAAATGAATGGCCTTGATCGGATCCTAAAAACTCATCAAGTAGAAGATGGTATCACAGAGAATCTAGCAAACAAAGTGCATAAATTAAATTGAGAAATATATATATATATATATATAAACCTTGTCTGAAGAATTGAGATCACTGATGAATAATGTGTCACCAGCATTAGAGATTAAGTAAGCCACTTTGCCATCATAATTGAAAGCTATAGAAGAACTGCTCGATCCTGCTCCTAAAGCCCCTCCGAACTTGCTAGTGCCAGATGCTACCTTGCTCCCACCGTTTGCGCCACCATAAGAGAATGTCTTGCTCCCATTAACACCAACAAAAAGCCGCGCCGCTGCCGATTTCACCACACTGCTGGAGCTCGGTGTCGAAGGCATGCTTAACCCCTGGGAAGCTGACTTCTCGTTGAGATATGCGATGATCAACTATAAAAGCCATATTCAAAATCAGAACCTTCAAGATTACTAATAAGAGCACAAAATCATAGCCCTATCGCACCTGAGACACGGATTTTCCATGAGAGTAATGAAGAAGGCCAGCAGGGTGAGTTTTCTCGTACTGAAGCTTGTATATAACCTATGGATACTTGAAGTAAGTCTTGAGCGCCCGGCCAGTGAACATCTTAATCACTGTGCAACCCAGCGATCAAACATCGGCAGACATCCCCTGCTCCTCCCCCGCGGCCTCCGACGTACCTCCGGCACATTTTGCGAAACCATCGCGCGTGAGGCTGGTTCGCATTATTTTGTGAGAGAATTTCTAATCCACTCAATTTGAGCGGGTTTCGATGTCACGCGAACTGACTCATGTAATACACCGTTGATGCTTCGAAAGATTTCCATATGTTCCGCTCAAAATCAATCAAACAACCTAATTTAAGATATGCGCGTAATTACATTACTTTACCCTCCTAATTCTGCATACCAAATAGCCCCTAAGTGTCATGCGAGGTTTTGTCGTGTTGGAGATTTGCACAAATACTAAAACATTCTAACCCTTCCAGATACTAGTAGATGCATAATATAAATGAGAATTAAATTAATATAACATTTTTAATTTAATTTTTAGAATTAAATTCATTAAATATGCATACCTATCAAAGCCCATTTATTAACTAAACTAATATTTATTTTACATGTCAGTATCATAACATCTACAAGAAATATAACTATAATTTTTTTTAATATTATATATATAATGTATATATTAGAAAATATTAGAAATGACATTTCTTCATTAGATCTAGATTTTTAACGGGACGCAATGGAGAGATAGGATTCATGTAGCCAACCCCACAAAGTGGGATAAAGGCTTACCTGATGTGATAAACGCATACTAAAATATTTTTTTCTCAGGGTATCCATCAAGCCTCTAAGTGACTGTTAGGTGAGCTTGATACCTCCTCGTTTACATATTTGGTGGAAACATATCTAAGAACAGAAGGGTCATGATGACACAATTTAGATTTGTAAGGCTATAGATTCCTATAAAGAAGTGGTCGTTGCTGCTTCTCGAAAAACATTGCCATAGGAGAAAGTCATGGTTGCAGCAATTTGCAATAGAAATTACAAAAATGAAGGTTAATTGACCAAAACAAGAAAGAATCAACAGCAAGATGATTCACGACAAAAAAGGAACAACAGCAGGAAGTATTACTACTAAAACCAAAGAAGGAAGAAAGCCGATGAATCCTGCAAGAAATGTTGCAGTTGCTAGAAGAGTTGCATTTTCATACAGGATGCAGCAACAATGAAGAGAATATACAAACAATACTGAATTTTTTTGCCTAGAAAGGACACCTTCAACAACGAAGACTACGGAAAATGCACTAGAATACATGCAGTAAAGCTCTAATACAATCTGGAGAACACGAGTATGAAAGAATTTCCTTGAAGCATTTGATTCAAGGCATATATAGACTGACCCAGAAAGAAAATGATGAAGCTAGTCTATACTTAAAAAAAAAAATACCAGCAACCATAAAAACATCAAAATGTTTTAAATTTAGAGCTTCCTAATGAGCTTGCTAAACCCAAATAGGTACGAAATTTTATTCACTGGTATGAATCAACAAGATCTTCATTTCCTTGGCATGCATTCATAGGATCATGATTTCCTTTCTTGTTGGATCCTTCTTTCCTTGTGACATGAATGTCGGTTCCAATACATACAAAACCAATCACAAATTAGATAGATAAAATAACACAAACAAAAGCTGCCAAAGAAGATTCATGTCTAATGGCAATATAAGGAGAAAACATCTGACAAAAAATTTTCAGCAATGTTTGCCCCGCATTCTAGAAATTGGCATCCAACTAACATACAATTTTGAGAAAAAAAATATTAACTCTCATTAAGTACTAATTTGGATGTATGCATGCCAAAGCATCTTTAGTTATAACCACAAAAGATCAAAAAAATCACATCCAAAAATTCTTGAAATCACTAAAGAGCACAAAACAAAAGGCATGTTTTCATGGACCAAGATATTCTACCATGCTCAAAATCGCATGCCAACAAATTCACGCCCCTACTACAATGTCAGAATTTGGATGTATAATAAATTTGTTAGGGAACAAGTGTAGAAACACCAAAATAGTGGCTCAAATTGGGAATTTCAGCATGAACGAGCAGAAATTTGGAGAAATTCAATGGCAAATCAATACAGAAACTTAATAATTGATAAAAAGTGAAAGAAAACAAGCAAGATACAATGGATCATCAATTTGAAAGGAAGATCCGGCTCTCCCAATCTCTAACCAGTGGCTAGAACCCAAGCAAACCTACAGAACTCCTAAATTCAGCAAAAACATACATAACCCAAACCCTTTCCCTCCTAAGATAATACAAATAAAAGCATAATTACTAAACAACGCTTCCAAGAATAAATCCCCGCCTAAAGACTTTAATTGGAAATGAGTATCCAAATATATTGACAAGCAAGATGTCAAAATATAACATATTTGGTTAAAAAGTCGTGGATAAGAGTGTAAACATAAGCATGCAACACTATTTTGACAGAGATCCTTTACAGTAAGAGCTGACTTGCAACTTCAGACCAATCTTTAAGCCCATTTGTAAAATATTAGAAGTTGCAAGTGGACCTCATTAGCATGGACCCGGACTAATAGAAACAATTGAAACATTATTTGCGTGAAATTGCTGCAGTAATCCGATGTTGTAACATGTTCAAATAAAACAATGAAAAAAAATCATAGATGTGAGAATGTGGTACCATGGTTGAATATATATTCACAGCGCATGTTAGAGAATTAAAGATTTAAAAGCAGCTATAGTACAACAATGAAATTATCTCAGAGAAAAAAGAATCCAGTTAAATTACTAAAAAGGAACAGATCAACGTGCAATGACAACTCAAACATAAGCGACAATACACTAAACAGGGAGTAGGGAATTGATTTTGAAACCATAGATGGCATGTAGATGGGTTAATTTACAGCAGTGTTAACTTTATTCGCCTAACCAAGAATAGTAGAAAAACTACAAATTATGCTTTCAAACTGAAGTGTGCTGCGTTAATGCCATAAAGGATATAAAACTTCACACAAAATAAACACCTATTTTGAAAGAATAGTAGCTATCTCAATGGAAAGAAAAAATTCCTAAGAAGGAATAGTTAAATTTAGATTGGTGGGAAGCTTTTTAGTAAAAATACAACAATCAAAGCAACTCTGGCGACAAAACCAAGTTAGTTATAATAATTAGAAGTACTTATTGTCAATATGATTCTAGCATACATTAGCCGTTAAGACATAGCAGTCATGTACCTGACTTATGAAGTTTACTCCCACGAACCTGAAGCAACAGAAATAAAGGAGAATCAACGGGACTGCTAGAAGTATACAATAATAGATTTGACAGGAATATGACATGTGAGAGCAAAGCTTTGGTAGAAACCTATCAATGATTTCGGGCAAAATAGACAAAAATAAAGCTACAAACATACGAGGAATGACTGGTATTTATAAAACTTGTAGAAATAATGGTTTCTCAAACAATGTAAGGCACCAGAAAATTGTAAATGATGGTAAGGATTACTCTTTTCGTATACAATTTGTGTCATAAAATAAAAATTTTAGGAGGCAAAAACGGGGTAATGTGCGGTCACTCTCTTATTCCTCAATTTCCTTTTTAAAATAAAAGGAGACTATTTATGAATGTGATTTTCGTCTTCATCATTGTTGTAAAAGCCCAAATAAATATTTAAAGAGTTAAGAATAATATTAATAATTGATTGACTTTTTTTATGAATGCTTTTTAGATTTAATCAAAATGTTGTTGTTAGGAGGTCTCATGCATTGAATGACAAAAGTAGAGAATTGCATTAGGTAACCGGCATCCAGTGTAAGAGTTGAACAATCATAACATGAATCATTTAATATATTGTGTTAATACTATTGTGTTTCATGTAAGAGTTGCACTGCATGGCTTTAATACAACAAAAAATGTGCAAGGGCTACTGCACCGGAGCCCATGTGCAGTGTTAAATAAGCAAGGATTCGCATATTATAAATGAATGTGGGCAAAGAAGCTAATCCTTGAAACTAGAATTATAATACAACTTGAATATAGGTTTCGTTATGAGGAAATTAATGAAATTAATAGATATTCCGATTCATATGAAGATAAATAATCTATGTATTTAAGAAACTATGGTATTCATGTAAGAACTGGTCTAGTCTGGACAGTTCAATTGAATAGTCCCACTTATTTTAATGCGAGAGCGGAGCAGGAGCAGAACCGCGGGGCAGGCGGATTGCACGCAGGCACAAACAGAGTTGGAAGGTTCAGATTTCGTTTTCTAGCGAGGAATCACGTACGGGATTGAAAATAAATGACTCCCCACGAAAAATAACTCCCTCCTCTACGTTCATTATCGCTAAAGAAGAAAAAAAATCCAGAGAAGTGACAGTGAACCAGAGGAAGAAGAAAAAAGAAAGTTTCTAAAGGTTTGTAAAGTGCAAATCATTCCTTGATATTTTATCTGAGCGGCAAGGAGTGTCTTCTATAAAAGTAAAGGAAAATATGTTGAAGGAGAAAGAGGAAAAATTTTGAATTTGAAATTTCTTCTTAAAGAAGAGCAAGTGATTTAGTTTGATGTTATACACTTCATTTTTCTCATTTCTCTAATTGAAAAAATATGAATAAATACAAATTAATTTTCAATATGAAGAAATTTAGTAAGGTGAAAGTTTTATCTCAATCAGATGGTGAAAGAAGAAATTAGTGAGGTAATTATTTTGATTTAATAAAAATTTTAGGGATGATTTAAAGCTATTTAATATTATGTTAATGAGGTTCAATTAGGTAAAGGTTCTCTTTGGAAATGGTTGAAGAAAATTTAATTTTTCTTTTTGATGATATTTGAGACATCCAAATTAGATTTTAATATTAATTAAAATATTATGTTGTATTATTAACAGTGGAAGATTTTCATACTAAAAGGATATTGGAAATCTATACCAGGCTTGAGAATGGAAGGAAATTGAAGCACGAAATTGACCAAGTGGGTAATTACAAATGTTTTATATTAACTGCAATCGTTTATTTCAATTATTGCATGTCATAATATTACGTTGACTGAATGTTTAAGATATGAAAAAAAATAATTGAAAAGCATAAGCGGATGATTATTTTAGTCATGATAAAGTTATTGTCTCTATTTATCTGTATTGTTGAAGGTTATATCATGTTCAAATAATTATTTTAGCAAAATAGTTAATATACATTAAACTTGAGAATGATTGAATAACTGAAGCTCATAGTATAATAAATATACAAGTGAAAAACATATTTATAGATTTATATAACAAATAAATGCTAATATGAAATAAAAAGTAAATTAAAAAGAAAATGCCCAAATTACAGGAGTTCACCCCCTATGTACCTTCATTGGTACAACTTTGAGATTGTGCTCCTGTACTAAATGAAAAAGGGAGAAGGAATAAATGAGAAAATGAAAAATAGATGAATATTTATTAAAAATAAATATGTTATATGACAGATATATATATATATATACCAAAAATCTTGATCAATATCACGCTACCGGATCTTTATCCTCGAAATGAAATAAACCAGCAAAAGCCAAGTAGATTATTAAACCTACACCGAATCCAATGCAAAAAAAGTAAAAATAATATGTATGTAATCATTCAAATCATATCAGTACAACATATCTATCATCAATTCATGTAAACTAAAATATATCAATATGAACAGTGGAATAACAAAGTATAATAATGTGATGGATTAGTGATCATTGACTCAATAATATTATGCGGTATTATGAAAAGTGTTATAGGAAAACTATTATATGCATAAATAAATTAATGAAATTTGTATCATAGGTCTATCAATTATCAGGGCACGTCAACATCACAAGTGTCCTATTATGTTGAAGTTTATCAATATCTATGCCTACACATGCCAAATCATGTTAGTACAAATATATCATGAATATATTATATATGTAGTACATATCAATATCATGTATATTATGTATATTTATTTGTATCAGTGACATTGCATATCATGTTCATGGACAATAATGGCTTATCCATATTTATGTTATATTTAATCATATGGAATTATGTCATGCGTGCATGTAATACCATACTTATATTAAGAGTAAAAGCTCAAAATAATCCGTAAATTACTGATAAATGTCTAATTTAATCTCAGAGTTTCACATTGACCCAATTTAGTCCCTCAACTACTAAAGTTGAGCTAATTTAGTCTCAAAGTTTAAAATAGAAGTTAAAGTTAACTCCAAAGTTAAATATAAATGATATTTTTGGTATAACAATTGGATATAAGATTACATCGATTATATTGCTCACGAAGTATCCATCTCAAGACGTTGAAGCTCATCGTGATCGCACGCAGTCACTCACAGCAATAGGAGTCTGGATGTTGAAGCGTGTCATCTCGCTCACAGAGTGTCTTGCTCGCGATGAGTTGTTTGTCTCGTAGCTGCAAGCAATTTGAAGCATGTTCTAGTGCATCTTTCGCCTTGTTCGCAACTTCTCCCATGCACAATTTGATCTCTAGGGCTTATAGTGGAAAGGCCAGAGAGCAGATAACAAGTAATTTTACCTAAATGCCCACAAAGAAATGAAACTTTCCAGATTTTCCATTAATTTAATAATTGAAGGATCAAATTGAAGCATTACAAAATTCTTGAACTAATTTGAGCATTTATCAATAGTCGAAGATTATGTTGAACTTTTACATCTTATATTAATGCAAATCAAGACATTTATCTAATCATATGTTTTTTTTTATATCTTATCATTCCTTATCACATCATGTTACAATTATTATCACAATAAGGTGGATTATTATAAGAGTCATCACTCAGTGCAAGTGAAACATTTTAATCCAAGTAGACACTACCATAGCTAAGCTAACAATTATTTTAAATTTTTTATATAACATGTATGATAGTTAAGTTAACACTGCATAAGCAAGGATTCTCTTAAAAAATTTCTATCACACAGCAATAAAATTAATATCTAATGAAATTAGGAGAATTATTGAGGTTCAGCACAAATTAATTGAGTTGAACGAGGAGAAGAATCTTACTCTTCTTACATAGCCTTGCATAAACATGATCTCCTATAGAAAAATGTGTTAGTAATAAAAATTTAGAATGCTTCTAATCATTGGGTACTTGGCCATTCATAAAGAGTAATAAAAATCTAGAATACTTCTAATCACTGAAGTCATCCAAAAATAGGTTGGATCACTGAAATTTGAGAACTTTTGGAAAGGATTTTTCTTCAATAGATTTTTCATTGATAATGAGAAAGACTTTCAAGTTTTGCTAAGAAAATATTCAACTCCAAGCAACTCTCCGGTTGGTCTTACAACATTAGGACAAGAATACCTGCATATTCCATAAATTTTGTCCTGCCTATTAAAGAAGGATTGCATAAAAGCTTGCTTCAGTGCTTTCAGCGACCTTACAAATGCATTCCTAACGAAGCCAGGTCCTAAAAAAGGTCAATCCATTGCAGAACTTAATTTAGTGTAAACCTGAAACTTAAATCAACATAAAGAAATAATCCAGAATTCTACAAACTAGTATTTATGCGTCGAAGGATGTGATACAAAATTAAAGATGAATAAACAAGATTTTTATAGATGATTACCTACAACATTTAAGTTATTTTCAATCATAGAAAGCCAACCATTCAGTCGCATTCTGGATTAGAGAACACTAATCACTGCAGTAAAAATGATGAATATGGAATTCGATAACTGGACATTCTGGATTCTTTCCTCAAGCAGAACATTTGTTGTGATGAATTAAAATAAAATAAAAACAGCAAAGGCCAAAAAATGCTTTCTGGTGATAAAATAAACCAGAATTGAAGGTTTACTTCCTACAGAATTGAAGGTTTACTTCCTACACTACCATACACGATGAAACCTTTCTTACATTCAGTTAAAAACCTCCTACAATAATCAACAAAAAAAATGAGAGCTAGCTGATTTTTCATCAAATAGGCAAAATTCACTTCACATCAGAACACTGCAGAGCAGTTTTACAGGCTAAACCGATATAGGTATGCATATTTGTGTTTTTCTTGGATATATTATAGAATCTTGGATCTATCACAATAGAAGGAATTATGTTGTTCTACCATAGGCTACAATGGAATAAATGAGAGGAATTGGTATCAGAACGAAAGAAAGGGAATGGAAGTCTCTGTGCTCGGAGAAGGCCTATAATCTTGTACTTCTATTTAAATGATTTGTAATTTATATCAAATAGTTTTGCATTCAAATAAATGTTATTATATTCTGATAGATTAGTTTTTCTTTAATGAGAGGTTTGTAGATGTCTGTTATAACTTAGCTGGCATAAGGTTCATCTATATGAATTACATAGAGATTGATTCTTGAATGCAAATGAGTAAAAGGTGAAAGAATAGTTAATGCAATGAGCTTGCTATATGATATCATTAAGAGCTATTAAAATGAGACAAGCCATGCAATTGTTTTTAATAAAGAAATATAGAGTTATTATAAATAGTAGGGAAAATAATGAAAAAATATATATATTTAGATAAAAAATGATGCAAGTTTTTAATAGAGAAAAAGAGGGAAGATATTTTTATATCATGGATAGATAAAGTGTTACAATAACAAATCTTCTTTCTAAATAATGCAAAATGCCCTACCCTAAATTAAGCACTACGTGCTCTTTCCTATGTCATCTCAATTCGATTGGTCAATGTTAAAAAAAGCTGTTTGTTTCTTCTAAAATAATGAAGTCATTAGTCATAAGATGTGAAATAAAATATTTTCGGTGAATAAGAAGAGAAGGCATGTGGCATAAACATAATGCCCAAACATACCAAAAATAATTTTGTGATTGTAACTATCTAACTAAGAACAACTATACCAGAGGATTCCAACACCTTAATTAGCCTAGATGTCAAATCATCAAGGCATCATGAAGTGGCTCTTTTTAAAAAGAATTCAAGAAAATGTAACAGAGAAAATTGAATATGCGCTTAAACATCACAATGCACCAACTAACTTATAAGACAAGCTCAAAACGGTTGTAAGCCTTTACACTCTATGCAAGCAGGCCGATTGAACAACAAATGGAATTATGTATATAATTATCCGTGGAGAATAGTGGCTTTCACCTACACATTTTGATGGATAATAATATACATAACTCGATAGTCATGAGATTTCCTACCATTCCATACATCAACATTTAACTCGAATGGGATTTATTTGATGTGAGTGTCGGTTCCCCATGGGTGCAAGACCCCGTAGTTAATTACATCTTATATCTCGACCCAAAAATACTCTCGAATAAGGAATATTATATTATTCACTTCTTAGTTTAGTGCATAATAGGGGTTTCTCGAATCTAATAAAAAAGGAATAACCTCTTCTCTTCATATTCAATGAGGATCAGATCTTTTAAATGTATGAAGACTAGATTAAAAATTTGAGGTTAAAATATCAAAGATTAATTTGCTATCTTAGGAGAAATGACATATTCAGAATTTATCAGAAGTAAAAAGAGACATACTGAGGGGTGTATAATTTAGGCTTATGCTTGCATGAAGTGAGCAGCCAGCTAATATCTTAAACACAATCAATCTCCCTATATATATAAGATAAAGCTCTATCATAAAGAATCAAGAATTTTGGTTCAGAGATTTAAATTAGGGATATACAAAATTTGCAAATAAATTTAACTACCATCATAAGATCTTTTATTCATTTATTTGGAACATAAATACAATCTTGGGTCCGCTAAAAAGTAAGGTGGCTAAGCTCCAACATGACATGCTTTGATTTCTACTCCTATGAAACATATATTTAAATATATTTGTTTATCATCTTTTAGCTCCGAGTCTTCTATAAAATTCCAAAAGAGAACACCCTCAAGAGAAGAAATTATCTTTTGTAGCCCTATGTGTATGTGTATAAGCAATTATTTTTCAAACCCTTTACAACATAATCACGCTTTACAACTCAATCTATATATACAATCAAGACACTTTAAATTTACATTTGACTCTTGCACATACATTTGCATCTAGGTACATTCTAATTTGAATCTTCTATTACAAACATCTAAGGTACATTCTATTTTGCTCTTAGTTTTTGCATTAAATAAAATAACATAAAAAGTGCATATGTAATGAATGTATAATATGACATCCAGAGTGTGTAAATAAATAAACAAAGATACCGTCCAGACAAAGATATCCGCATCACACCAAAACACACTACGGTCTAGCCTAACATTAGAGTCAGTGACCCAAGCAAATAAATTCTAGTATGTGAAAAATTGTGTTATGGATGTGTTCTAATTGGTACATTGTTTAAGTTATTTAAATTTGAAGTTATTTGTTAGTTGTACACCAAGTGAGGTGTTAATTTAAATTTAAATTTTTATATGAGAAAATGTTCTTAATATTTTTAAAATTTATTAATGATTTATTAAGTATTCTAAGATACAAGCCTTATGAATCCAATACAAATATGCTCTCTAAAAGAAATCAAGCATGACATATGAAAGCTTTGAAGTATTTTTTTTATTACAGATTTGAATGAATATTATTTAAATTGAACAATAATCACCTTTGTTAAAAAAGTGCTATGAGATTTATTTCACCATCCTTGGGGCAAAATTAATAATCTCGTAAGCCCAGGTTACCTAATAATTACCTTGATTAATTATATTTGATTATCTGTTAAATACATTTGCAAAAGGATATACCTTGGTGTATGCTTTTTGCCGATTATATTCTTCTTGTGGATAAGACTAGAGAGGGAGTTGAAGGTAAACTCGAACTATGGAGGTCAAGTTTAGAATCTAAAGGTTTTCGCTTGAGTAGATCTAAAACAGAATATATGGAGTGTAATTTTAGTAGCAATAGACCTAGTGATGGGATTGTGACTTTGAGGGATCAAGTCATTATTAAGAGTACACGTTTTAGATATCTTGGATCTATTGTTCAGAGTGATGGTGAAATTGATGGGGATATTATCAGTAGAATTCAAGTTGGATGGTTAAAGTGGAGGAATGCATCGGGCTTATTGTGTGATAGAAAAGTCCCCCTCAAACTTAAGGGAAAATTCTATAAGATGGTGGTGAGACCTGCAATGTTTTATGGTGCCAAATGTTGGCCATTAAAAGAGAAGCATAATACTAAGTTAAATGTTGCAGAGATGAGGATGCTTAGGTGGATGAGTGGTTTGACCCTTAGAGATAGGATACAAAATGAGCATATTTATGAAAAGGTTGGAGTAGCTCCAGTGGAAGATAAGATTAGAGAGAGTCGAGATGGTTTGGTCACATTAAACGGAGGCTTTCCGATGACCCGATTAGGATAGTAGAGGTATTAGATTTGACTTATGTTAAGAAAGGTAGAGGTAGACCTAAAAAGACTTGGTTAGAAAATAATAGAAATGATCTTTCTTTATTAGATTTAAAAGAGAATTTGACTTTTTACCAAACACAATGGCGAAAAAGGATTCATGTAGCCAACCCCACGTAGTGGGACAAAGGCTTGATGTTATTGTTGTATCTGTTAAATACATTGAATGAATTATTTATCAAAGGACTTAAAAATCTAATGCACTTATGTCTTCAAAAATGGAGGCAAACATAGCACATGAAAACCCGATTAATGATTTAGAGGTCCTCTAATCCAATGCATATGTATCCTCCAAGTGGAATTAAATATAATGCATAAGAGACTTCTTGTTATTTAAAATTGATTAAGGACCTTTAAAATTCAATGCTAATGTGCCCTCCAAAAGAATCAAATATAAACCATGAACATCCTTTAGTTATTCATATAATTTTTTAGTTAATGGATTCATAAAATTAGACCAAGTTTAAAACTTTATTATTGTTCGCTAAAGAAAAATGCACGAAGGCATGTATCTCAATTTATAACTATGGGATTCCATTTTTCTTAAGTCAGATTGCAATTAATCAGATTTTTCCTGAGGGTAGTATAAGGGTTTAATTAGATCTGACGTCCTTACTTCCCATGAGCGCAAGCACTCATAGTTAATTACCCATCTTAACACATAAGAGAGAACTCTCGATTAAGGATGAATATTTTTTAAAATAGTTTAGACTCAATTTTGAGGAAAATGGAGGTAAACCCGATCAAGATCCCATTGTAGTTTAGTCTTAATCGTAGTCTTTTTTTCTACTATAGTGGTCCACTACTCTACTCATTTTCTGGCACTGTTACTTTACAAGTGTTTTAGTAATTAGCTTTCCTTACTTTTCCAGTATTTTGTTCTATCTACAGTAACTAAATTTATTATTTTTCAGCATGTTGACCTTTATGTATTAACCGGTAGAACAAAAAAAAAATCAAAATCATACCCGGCGGATCCACGACATCTGCCCGAAATCCCGACTGAAATCCCCGGAATCCTGCTGAAATCACGCTGGCAGCGCCGATTCACGTCGTTTCTCCGTATTCCCTGC